TCTTAGGCTTATATTTGCCCTTTTGTATCAGTAGTCTCCCTATTCACACAAGCTCACCATATTCTTTCCCATCTCTGCACCTTTACTTGGGTCCTTTCCTCTGCCTGGAATGCCTTTCTCTGATTATTAATCCAGTTATCCGTCAAGACTCTTTTAAAATTCTGCCTCTTCTGTGAAATCTCTAATCCAAGCAGCTGGAATTAACTTTTCTTTCCTCTTTGTTGCCATGGTCTGGACCCCTAAAATCCTAGGCTTGAATACAGAAGGGCGCTGCATCACCTATACCCTTTCTGGTTTCTCACGTCTCAAATGCTCAACATAGCATACAAGGCTTTTCTTAGTTTGGCCTCTGCTTAACTCTTCTACTTCCTTTATGCTTTTTTCCTTTGCTCGCTCGTTTTCAAGCCATACCAGCCTTTTATCTTGTTGCTTCTTCTGCTTGGAACTGCCTTGCACCCATTATCCACTTGGCTCACTACTTTTCATTTTTTCAGTCTCTCTTTAAAAGTTACATCCTTTGGGAATTTTTCTTGACCTGTCCAAGCCTGGTGGGTTATGTTATCCTGTTATGTGTTCTCCCTGCTCTCTGGTCTTTCCCCTTTCTTGACATATTTTAAGAATTTGTTTAATGGCTATTTTCCACCACACTGTATATGTCAAGAAGGCAGGCATTTTATATGTCTTGTTTACTTCTGCGTCTTGAGCACCTTGCATCATGCCTGACACTTAGAAAACATTCGACCTATATTTGTTTCATGAATAAATTTAATCCAGACTTATTGTAGAAATGGAAATATGGAGGCCCAGAAAGGGAGAGGGATTTACTCAAGGTCACACAGAGAATCAGTGGCAGAGAAAAGACTGTAGCCCAGATCTTCTGACTCTTAGTGCAGTGCTCTTATCTATATATGCACCTCCGCCATTGTACTCATTCTTTGAACATGCTTATGTAGCATTCTGGTTTCTGGACTAGGCTCTGAATTCCTGGAGGGCTGGGACCATGTCTTATACCTGATCTGGTCAATACAGTAGCCACTAGCCACATATGACAATTTCACACTAGAAACATGGCAAGTTCAAATTGAGATGTACTATTTGTATACACACTGCATTTCAAATAATGTAAAATATCTTATTAATAAACGTTTACATTGTTTACAGGTTGAAATAACATTGTGGATGTGTTGAGCTAAATAAATTATATTATTAAAATTAGTTTCACTTATTTATTAAAAATTTTTAAATGCGGTTGTTAGAATAATTGTGGCTCACATTACATTTGTATTATATTGTTGCATATTTCTGTTCTGTTGTATGTTTATTTTATTCCCTTGGTGCTAAGCATACAGCTTTGTAGCCACTAGGTGCACAACACACCCTTGCTGCATATAGTTAAGCTGTAGTTAGTAGGTTAATTGCTGCCATTTATCTTGTCAATATCACTGTTTTGTGGTGAGCCTCACAATGAAACCTTTGTCCCCAGGCCCAGGTATACAAAAAGTTCTTTAGTTCTGGCCTGGGGATGCCCTACACGTTGCATCAGCCTTTGGATTTCCTTTCAGAGGAAACCACGATGCAATCCTATGCATAGCAATCACCAGGGGTGAGGTGGCGTGTGTGGACACCAGCAGCTTGCACAGGAAGTGGCCTTAGCTTTGCAATTTTCCCTAGGGCCACTTCTTGAAAGTCTTCTGAAAGGAGGTGGGGGTGAGTGAACAGGAAGATAAACTCAAAATGAAGGGTGAAGGGCTTCTCAGCTCCTTCATGGAGGTAGGGTAAGCTAAGCAATGTGGGGACATTGGGTCATGAGGTCTCTTTGTTTTGCTTATGCATTCACTTATTCACCTCACAGTTCTGGGATAACTAGTTTATTCCTAGGCCTAAGAAGACAGTAAAGATTAAGCATAGTTCCTACTTTGGGCAGTGCTTGGTCTTCTGGTAGAGACTGACACATAAGTGCAGTGTGGGTGTTTTTCAAGAATAGAGAAGGGTAAGGTGGAAAGCAACTAATTTTGTAGGTGGTTGTCAGAGAAGGCTTTCCAGAGACAGTGAGCATCATTTTTTCCTCCCTATCTTTTCAGATATAGCTAAAATCTTATTCTTCTGAGAACCTTTCTACTTACCATCACCTCCTCATCTTCTTCCCTGGGAGAATCTTATCTACATATCTGACGACACTTCATGCCTTTGTCAAATTACTTATTATATTCTGTAGAGTGACATAGCTCCTGGGGTGCACGCCTGTCTTCCACTTCCCTTTAGCCTGAGAATCCTTGAATCTGATGTGGGGACTGAGGCTCAGAAAGACTGTGTATGATTGTTCAAGGTCACATAGTTAATGAGTTACAGAGCTTTGTCTATAACCTAGGGTCTAAGATGCAGGGACTCTGATTCCATGTTCTTTCCATTCCAGTACTGAGGAAATAAATGAGTATCTGCAGTGTGAGACCCCAGCACTGCCTGCTTGCTCCGCTTGTCAACTCTTTTCCCTTCTGTCTCATCTCCCTCCACAAGCACAGGGAAGGCAGAAATCATTCAAAATGGGAAAGCTTTGTGACTTTTGGTTGCTCTGAACAGAAACCTGGACAACAGACCAAAAAGAAGAAGCCCTTTTGTGCTGTTATTGCAAACTTGGCCCTTCCCAGCATAGTTGGTGTTTGTGGGCTAAAGACGAACTCTGAGCTCAGTTCCCTTTGCTCTCATTCGAGTCCTCTGCATAGGTGGTATGATTTTCAGAGCCTTCTGGTTCCCTATTGTTGGGCTCAAAGTAGATACCGTTAATTATTACTTTAAGCAAACACATTGTCTCCAGAAACCCCTGTTAGAAAGCTAGTAGAGTACCCTAATTGATAAGGGAGAAAATAGACGTGTGTAACTACTCTTAATCTCCGTTTTGGAGTAGAAAGAAGGGGGTCCCTTTTTAGCAAAGTGCCCACAGGACCACCCTACTTCCGCTCCAAGCTTTAGTCAGAAACCAAAAAGAAACAGGAACTAAATCTTTCTAGAAGCTAGATCCAGGGTCTTGAGGCCTAAGCCAATACATTATTCTGGTAGAAGGAAGTTTTCTACAGAGTAATGTTAGTACAAGTGAATCCGTACCTTAGAATTCCACGGAGCCTCAGGTCCTGCAGCAACAGGGAAGCTCACAGTGAGTAAGGAAGAGCCACAAAAGAAACAGGGAACGTTTGAGTTGGAGTGGTCATCACGACCATTTAGTCCAACCTCTGTTAGTTAAAGGAGAAACTAATGCCCAGGGAGGGATTAGAGTGGGGACTAGGGTGCAGGGCTCTTGGCTCACAGGATGTGGTCTTCCTTTTGAATCTGAATTTATAAGAATGTATGTAGCTTGGAAAGGTTATTTACCATTGCTTGAGTACCACTCAGGGCCATACTTCCTCTACTGCAGACAAAGGACTGCGACTTGGGCACTGCAACCATTGAAAGCTATCCAAAATATATCCTGAAAGCATTGAAGGAATTGCCCCTCCCATTCTCCATGCCATCAGAATTCATGGTGGAGGGCACTGCATCGTGGGAATTCATCATCTTCCTGGCTGTTAATGGGGACTTCCTAGGGACTCTAAACATGAGGCACTAGGAAACCACTCACCCTCTTTTTACACCTTTCATGTCCCTTATTAACCTAAAGGTCACAGTTTAACTTAGGGGTCTGGCACTGTCTTTCTTTCTCAAGACCAACTACTTTCTTCCCTGCTTCCTTGTAGCCAATGTGGAAGAGTAGAAGAAAATCTCAACGTTTGGAGTTAGACCTGAGTGAAAAATCTGTCTTCTCTATTATTTTCTAGTTTTGTTTCCTTAGGCAAGTCACTTTATTTCTGTGTGCCTCAGTTTCCTCACCATAAATAAGAATAATGATAATACCATACCAGAGGGTTGTTGAATAAATTAGATAATACATGTAAAAGAACATCATAAGTACTCTAATAAATATGAATTTTCTTATTTATTTCCTTCTACAAGCCCCGAGATGACAAAATGTGGTGTGTGGTTATAGCTGTGCCCCCCAGGGCCAGCTTCATAAGCATATGACCTCTATAGCTTCACAGGGCTCCATGCTTAGAAGGACTCCACACTTAGTTTAATGTTCTGTTGTTGTCAGCTTGATATTTTTAGTTTTTTTTTTTTTTTTTTTTTTTTTTTTTTTTTTTTTTTTNTTTTTTTGAGACAGAGTCTCGCTCTGTCGCCCAGGCTGGAGAACAGTGGCATGATCTTGGCTCACTGCAACCTTTCTCTCCCAGGTTCAAGTGATTCTCCCGCCTCAGCCTCCTGAGTATCTGGGACTACAGGCATGTGCCACCATGCCTGGCTAATTTTTTGTATTTTTAGTAGAGACTGGGTTTCACCGTGTTAGCCAGGATGGTCTCAATCTCCTGACCTTGTGATCTGCCTGCCTCGGCCTCCCAAAATGCTGGGATTACAGGCGTGAGCCACTGCGCCTGGCCTGTTCTTAATTTTCAAATAAGCGGCCTATTATTTTCATTTTTTTACTGGGCCTTGCAAATTATGCAGCTGGTTCTATATGGCAGGAGATCAGTGGGAAGTAAAATGGTATTCCAGGACCAGGAGTCATTCCGGCAGAGTGAAAAGAACATGTGATTTGAAGTCCATAGAGATGGGTTCAAATTTCGGCTTTGCCACTAATTTGCTTTGTGATACTGAGCATTTCGTTTTATCCCTCAGGGGCTCTGTTTCTCAGTTTTGATAATGGGTTTTTTCATTAGATAATGACTCAGTTCTGGCATTCCAGGTTTCCCTCAACTATTCTGGGAAAACCTCTTTGACCCACAGGCAGAGCCTAGGGCAGCCAAGTGCTTTCCACTCTCTCTCTCTGCAGCTTGGAAAGTTAGTGTCTGTTGAAAGTCAGCTGGGAGTTGGTGGAGGCAGGGCAGTGTTCTGCTACTATTGCTGCAGTAGCAGACCCTTTCACAACAGCATTGTTTTGTCATTTCGCACCCAGATTTCCGTTGGCTAACCTCAGTCTTATCTTCCTCATTTCTGTTTCCTGTTGAAGACACCAAGGGCCCTTCAAAACACACAACCTTCTTGCTCACGGCATAAAGCCCAGTTCCATCTGGCCCCTGCAGGTTGGCTCAGCACTGGGGAACCAGTGTCCCCTCCATGACCAAGGCACCACTCCACTGACAGGTATGGTATCAATTTGCCCTCTCTTCTTGCATTCCCAAGCTAGGGCAGTGTCTATGGCAGCCAAGGGTGGCTTGGATCTGCCCATTCCATTTTCCTCAGATCTTCCTCAGGGATCAATGTCAAAGGTGGGGGAAGAAGGTTTCCATTGACTTTCCATCCTGGAACTTCTAGTAGTGGGGAAAAGGGGATAGGATATTTTCTAGCCAATTAGTATGTTTAGGAGAAAGTCACATGGAAGTGGAATGTTCTTTGGACCCAGGAGTCAGAAAACCGTAGTAGCAGTCCTGGTTTTACCAGTTACCCAGTGTGTATCTTTGGGAAAGTCCTTTCTCCAATCTAGGACTCAGCTTTTTCACCCCTTTTGTAAAATAAATAAATAAATAAATAAATAAATGAATAAGAAAAGAATGATTAGATGAGTGCTGTATAGAGACTTTTAGTTATTAGATTCCTTATTTTTATGATTGTCAGCCCTCTGTCAAGAAAGAAGATGTGAGTAATCTTTGCATATGTAACTGTGGGTGGGGCTGAACACATCCAAGAGGAGAGCTGGTGGTAATCCATATAGCACTCTATGAGAGGCATGGCTCAAAGATGAAAGCCTTTTCTCTAGTCCAATTTTTGACTCCTAGAAGTTCAAAATTGAAAGACTCTTAGAGACCAGGTACATGTGGAAGAAGAAACTGAGGTCCAGAAAGAGGAAGAAAGGGACTTGCCCAAGGTCATACAGAGAATCTGTAGGAGAGCTGGGTCTGGATTCCCAGGCCAGTCCTCTTTTTGCTCTGTCCTCAGAGGACAGAGACATCAAGCAGCAGAACCTGTCCTATAACTGACTCAGTTGGGCCTCCTCATAGTAGAGGCAGTCTGGATTTTTTAGGCATGGTCCTGAGGACTTCTTTTCTTCTATTCTTCTTTCAGATACTTGGCTCACTCTAAGTGTTGAGAGATTCCCAGACACCTACCCCTCCTACTTCTGGTTGGTTCCCTCCAATTCCCTCCATAAAAACTGACCCATCCTTTGTGCCAATAATAGTGGCTTTGTGAAGCTCTTCAATAGAAGATTTTGCATTTCGTATGGGAGAAAAATGATGTTATTCCAAATAATGTAACAGACAAAGAAAAGAGCTTCCAAATTCCTTTAATATCATCCCACATAGACATTTATCTCTATGGGTCTGGCCAACATTTCTCAACTGAACCTGATTTTCTTATATACACTCCATTGGAGAGGCATGGACTAGAACAGCAAGAGTGGAAATGAAACCAGTCTAGTTTCAGCTCAGCCACTAACTTCTTCCATCAATATTAGAGCATTATTGTCTACAAGTACCTCCAAATTTTGAAGTACTAAGAATTTTCAGCTCTTTTCATGCCTTCTTTCCAGGCTTTCTGGGGGTGAATAAAGTCAGAGAGGGCATTCAAAAGGCTGTGAATACCTGCAGCTTATCTAGGCCTTCTTACTGGAGCTGGTAGCCAATGAGGGTAATGATATCAAAAAGGTAAAAATACATTTCTCTTTTGCCTGCCATCCCCAACTCAAACTCTGTTAATCAGCTTGCTTGGCTGGCCTCCAACCACAGGTCTAGGGAATGAGCCAAGGTCCTTTTGGGCTCCGGTGTGGGAATCTCTGGAAAGCTTAGCAACGCTTTCCAACAACTTCGCCAGGTAAGTCTTCTTGTCCTCATTTCCAGAGAAGACAACTGAAGCCCAAAGAAATACTTGCCCAAGCCATGATTGTCTAGTTGATGGCCAAGACAGCATCAGAACACAAGTTTGTCTGATTTTTTCATACCATATCTGGTGACCATGACTGCTGCTTTTACTGCTGGGTGACTTAGGCTGGATTGAGTAGGTAGAAAAGGAAGCGAGGGAGCAAAAGAGCCTTAGTTTTGAGATTACTGCTAGAACTTAATTTGAAGGGGCATGTTAACCCCTTACATTCAATTAAAAGAGTTGAGCAAGAAAAAACATTGAGTGTTTTCTTGCTGAAAGACAAGGCTGAATCCTTCTGTCTTGCCTTGGCTGGAACAGGGCTTTCTGGCCTCATGGGGACAGTTTTCCATTTATGGCAACCTTGAGGTTTTTGCCACTTTTCATGACAGTATTTAATGTAGACCAGCTACCTGCTCACAGATCGACTGCCACAGCTGGTAAGGGCAATAATTTGACCCTGGCAACCCGGCATTTTTAGTAACAAGTTCTGAGTGTTGCCAAGGGAATTCTCCCAGAAGTTTCAGACCTGACCCTTCTTCTGGCATCTTCCTTATTGCACTGGTGACTTGTGGGTTCAGTGATCCCAAATGCTGCATTGCAAAGGTACTGTCTGTTTTTGCCCTCTTTGTTGCTGTGTCTCCCCTTTCCTAGAGGAATATACGGAGAAGGGAGGCAAAAGAACCAATGAGGAAAGCTGTATAATGCATACTGCTGAACTATAGAAAACTTATTGTATAAACTTTACAAGTCTCCTCCCCAACATGAGCCTTTGTTCTCTCATTTATAACCTAAGTGAGTGAGACTAGATGATCTTTAAGGGCACTTTAATAGCTGCCATTCTTGAGTCCCTATGGGACAAAAGGATCATGTTAGGCAAGGCTGAGACCAAGAGAAATCAATGTCACACCTGTCCAGATTCTGCTAAATCAATTGCCAATAGCTCTTGCTTTCATTTTGATGTTATAATTACTATTTTTTTGAGCATTTGTTATGTATTGAATACTGAACCAAAGGCTTTAAGTGCATTTTCTCCTGTCATTCTCACAATAACCTTATGAGGTAGGTATTATGCTTACATACATTTTGTGGGAGTAGCAAACTTGCGCTCAGAGAGGTGAAATGATTTATCCAAAGTTGCCTGGCTAGCTAATGGAAGAGCTAGGATTTAAGGTCATGTTTAACCTCAAAGCCTATATATATAGCCACAACACTGTGAAAACACAGCTTGGGGGAACTGAGAAGAAGAGGGAGCAAGGATGATGACTCTGGGATCTGGTACTTTCCCCAAGTCAGACAGGCAGGATGATGACCAAATTTTCTCCTCTTTGCTTCATAGAGGAAACCACTGAAGCTTGGGACACCTAGAAATGCCATAGCTACAGGACTCAGGTCTGAGGACCTTCCAGCTGAGCACTGGGTGTCAATCAGGCCTTCCCTGCTTGTCCTTAGGATCTCTCTTCTGGTTAGGAACCTTATGCCTGTTCTGCTCACTTCCCTATTCTGGTGCTTGGACTTGTCTTTTCAGCAAGTTTTCTGGGGCTGAGAGTGTGACCTCATCACTTCTTTCTCTCTCTTTCCCTCCAGGGTCACATCTCCCAGGAAGATCTCACCTTCCCACAGAAGCCCCTGGCCTGGCCTCCTGCAGTGCCACACTCCGTGTATTTGACAAGCTGAGTTGGACACTCCGTGTGGTAGAGTGTCAGTTTGTCAAATACCCCAAGTGCGACACATGCTTAGCAGCTCCAGACCAGGGCAGATGGGATATAACAGATGAACTGCCAGCTGGATACAAGGATGCTCACCAAGCACCAAGTTCTCATGAGTTATTTTATGTGACTTTGCAGGAACTGATGCATTATATCTGAGGACACCAGGGGAAAAGTGTGGCATATGTGGGCAATACAGCCCTGGGCTTCGTCTACACACATCATGAGAGTGCTGATGGGAGCACAATAGTCTTGAAAATGTATAAAAGGTCCAGGAATGGAAGTGCTCATTGATACATTATTATTTTCTTCCTTCACATTCTCCTCCCAGAGTCTCCCATCTAGGACACCAGAATTCTCACATAAGCATCATAGCTTATGTGAGAAAGCAGGGCTTAGAAATTCACTTTCTTGATGCTCAGTCTTGGCTTCTAAATACTCCTTGACCTTGCCTACCTCTTCCCTTTTCCACGTCTTTTCGTCTAGGAAGACTTTCCCCATTTATTTCTGTCTATTCAAATCTTCCCCATATTTCCTGGCCTAGCCAAAGTCCAGTGTTTCCAGAGACTTTTAAAAATCAACTTATACTTTTTCCTTCTTCACTCACAAAGCACTTCTTGCCTGGGCCCTGGTATGTGCCTCTTTCTCTCTTACTGTCTAACAGCACCTCTTGAATTGTCAATGAACTTTTCTAGGGGAGTATTCTTGAATTTTCAACTAGATTGTGAGCTTCTAGAAGACAAGGCTATGTGTCTTTGATTGCTGTCTCCCCTACCACAGCCCAGTACTTTGGTTACAGAAAAAAATAAACCTTTATTGATTGATTGACTTTCCACTAGTCCACTATCTTTAGGCCTTGTGGCCAAATTCTACCCTGGGTTTTGAACAAGAAATCAAACTGCGTACACCAAATGTTATAGAGCATATTACGTAGTAGCCAGCGTGAAGGGTTTTTTCTTCCTGAGAAACTGTCAAGGGCTGGAAGAAAAGGACAAAAGAGAAGATTCAGAGGGCAAATACATTTTAGTATTACTTGGTTACACAGTTATACAGGTGTTTTATTACAGGATTTTTCAGAGCCTTTAATAGTGTAATGTTACATTGAGAATCTCAAAGATGAAACCGTAGAATGAGGCATTTGCCACACTTAACTGATATGAATTCTTTTCCCACAGGAAAAAAAGACTTTTCCCATATGTCAATTTTTTCCCATGTATTAATGGCCCATGAAGCAAAATTTGGGAAACTATCCTAGAGAAACTTCACACCTTCTGTCTGTTCTGGAGATCTTTTCCTCTTTTCACTCATCTACTTTCTCCAACCAGCCACCAGCCTAAGAAAGGTCCCATGTTACCTGGTTTTTGTTTAGCCTGTCCTGCAGCTTTGAACTATCTCTATACATAGGAATTTTTTACTAGCTTGTCCTATCTGAAAAAAAATTCTCAGCTTTGAAGCAAAGAAGATCCAGATGCTGCAATAAATATATGCACTGAGGAGTTCACAGGGCTGACTTTTGGTCTCCATTCTACCACTAACTTGGTTGTTGTTCCTCTCTGAGCTTCATTTTCTCATCTCTAATACGGGAGTATTAGAATCAGTAATCTCTAGGCTCTTTATTTAAGATGAATGATTTTGAGATATCCCTGGGAGTCCTTAGCTCTTACGGAGAAGTGTGCCTGGATTTGTGGCTCATTTTACTAGTGAAAATGCAACCAGGATTCTCTCCCCAACACCTGAAACTCATTTTTTGATGGGCAGCAGGGAAAGATAATGGGTATTTTCAAAGGCTGTAGGGGCTGGACACAGAGTTGTTTCATGAAAGAAGGTGAGGTTTCCACTGGGTGGAGGCCCTATTTCAGAGGCTTGTAAGCACCAGGGGGAAGAAAGAGTTGTTCCTTTCACCAACTAGGTGAAGCTAGCATCTGGAAAGAGGAAAATGTTGAGGTTTCTACCACGGATCTGGCATGTTAGTGAAGTGGCGGGATCCTTTTTGTTACTTTTGTGTACTATTTTGAAGTCTGTAATCATCGCAAAAGGGGAACAGCACCTTGTGAAACATGAGCTGTCCTTTGGGGCTGCATGGGAACCAGAAGTAGCAACATGGCAGCTTCTTTGAAGAGTGCATAAGTTGATTTGACATTAATTACATGGGGAAAAGAAAGCTGTGTAGACCTGGGTCAGAACAGGTTCCCACAGAGGAGCCTTATTTAAAGGTGCAGGAACTTATGTACACACACAAACTCACACACTAACTCTCTCTTTCTCTCTCTTTCCCCTAACCCTATTCCTGCTGGAAGAGAAAGGCTTTCTTGCCCTTACCCCACCTCACATTGTAAGAAATGGCGTAAAGAAGATAACCTGTGAAAAATGCAACTACCCCCAAGATTTTAAGATTCAAAGAGGTGAAATCCTTGGGAGTGGTGCATCCATACTTTGGAAAGAAGGAAATCCCTTCATCTCTGCATTCATAGTCCCCTGAGACAGAAGGACGTTTTCTTTTCCAGGCTTCCACTTGATGTGGGAAGAATCATCCAGGTGGACCTGGCAGGATAGTAAGTGGGGTAATGGAAGCCAGACGAGTACTATGTAATCAAATATTCACGGTGTTCCAGCTGGGCTTACCAGTGGAGTAAAGTAGGAGTGGCATGTGTGCGAAGGGGAAAGACCAAAAAACCAAAAGTGACATCCATACTCTCAGAGGCCCCAACCATCTTAACTAGTCTCACTTTAATTACGTTTCGTAGGTCCTACCATACCGTGAGAGAAGAACAACACGACTGAGATTGCTGTTATGATTAGATATTTATTGAGCATTAAGAGTCAGAACATTAGACTTTCAGTGCAGGAGCAGAGCTGAACCCTGGTCTGTGATATGACAATCTCAATTAAAAGATGTCTGGCCCTGAAGGAGGAGAAATGATCCTGGATGCAGCTGGTCCTCTGAGCTGGCAGAGCTGAGTCTCCCGCTCGTCTTCTGGTGGCAAGATGCCAAAGTTGAATCGTGCCTGTAAGCATGATGATAAAGTCCTAGTGCTATGGGTATCTTCCCTCTGGTGTTTAGAGAGGAGTACCAGAAATCCCAGGCAGAGATACTAGAAGGGCCCAGGGCCAAATCCAGCAGTTGACTTACTTGAAATGCATCTGACAAATTCTAAAGCAAAGCCAGTGACTCCCAGGGGCCCCATTATTGGCAGGGCAGAAATTTGAGGCTATTCATGAAGATAGGTAGCAGGGAAGGTGGCTATGCAGAAGGCTAGGACTGTACAGGCAATTATGTCAGCAGATCCTGGCCTAGTGGGGCATTTTAAACAGACACTCTTGCCTCAGTGGCCAGAAACTCATAATACGGAGGAACTGCGTGCAGCTGTGTGCAGCAGCCGGGTGTAGTCACCATTGATCTGGGTGATGATCTGGTACTCCTGGCCTATGCAGGGCTGATCGGAGTAGTTGTTGCTCAGATTCTGGGAAGTTGGCTCATCACTGGAGCAGCCACTTGAGAAGATGGCCACCCTCATGGTTTCTCCAGAGTCGTTGGCCTCCCTGGCATGCACCCTATGGCCCAAGAGCCCACCACCCAAAAGAAGGGGCTTCAGGCTGGGGTCCTGGTTTCCCACCCTTCTGCCTCAATTCTTGTCAGTTAATTCTCAGGATTCTGCCTCCCAAAGATTCTGGGAGCAGAAGGCTGATGGATTTAAATTATCCTTTGTGTTCAGAGGGCCAAGACAACCTCAGGAGGTGCCTGAGACAGGGGAGAAAGCTATGTCCTGACCCTGAAGGCCTCTGGCCTTAGGATTCGGTCTGTGCCACACCCCGTTTCCTCTACGTTTCCCACATATAATCAAAACTAGGGGCAGGGAAGGGTCAAAAACGGAAGAGGAGAGGCTTTCTTACCTGGGTGCTTCACAGACATGCTCTAGAAAAGAAGGAGGAATCATGTCAGAAGTTTTCATGGCAAGTGGACAAGGGTCAATACCAGTTAAAAGACGAGGGAAGGGTACAGAGAAGGAGATTTTATGTCTCAGCTTTCCAACAACTGGGAGGTGTGGGAGAGGTGAATTGAAACACAATGATGCAGATTTATCAGGGAAAGGAAGGAAAAGCACAACCTTTTTGTCATCTCTGACTCAGGATATTGGGCTGGAGCAGTTTCTGGGTATGGGTAAGGGGAGGGCACTGGAACTGGACCTGCTCTTTAACCATGAATCTCCCCCAAAGATCCCCAGAGAGTCCTTGTGGGAAACTTGACTGTCAGGCCAGAGACCAGGAAGAAGGGGCTGGATTAGCCTGATGCTGATGACCATGACCCAAGCCATTCCCAAATGCAATCACCCCCACCATATACCCAGGAAAACCCATGAAATAGGTCACCATTGCCCCCTAGTGTCTGAAATAGTGTCCTGTATTCCATACAGGCTCAAAGGCTTAGGTTGGTACAAAGATAGATATTTCTTAGTACTGCCCTCTAGGTGCTTATAATTTTTCTGGGCTGCAAATGGAAATGCAAGCATTAAATGACAAAAAAGTAAACAAGGCAAGCCACAGGACTTCTGCCTTGTGCTACAGTCCTGCATTTCTGTGTCTTACCTCCCCCATTGGCCTATGAGCTCTTGTACTGCAAGGGTCATGTCTTTTTCATCTGAATATGCTCAATGCCTGTCACAGAATAGATGCCCAGTAATTATATTAAATTAAATTGATGCCCTAAAGCTATCTTCCTTATAGAGAAGTAGGAAAGAGAAAAATCTGGAAATGAGACTAGGTATAAGGAAATGATGGACGTTAGAAAATTGGCTAGAGCACGATCACAGAGAGCATTGAATAGAATATGACCTTTATTCCTTGGGCCTTGAGAAGCCATGGAAAGTTTTTGAGAGAGAAAAAATTTAATGTGGTTACCATTTATGCCCAACCTCATCAAGACTATGAGAAATACTCTCCTTTTAGTGCCCCTGGGGTTTGTGGCCATGTGAGGTATCTCTGCTATCACGTTCAGTCTCATGGTGATAGCCATGTTAACTGGCCAAAGCCAGAGCTTATACTTGAGATCTGAGAGAAGGAGATACTCAAGACTCCCTTCTGCTGGTGGAAATCTGTGAGACCCATGGTAGAAATCAGGCTGTTTGGGAGTAAGAGTTACTACAGAAAATAACACTAACGCTAGGGAAAATGACCAGTGCACTGGGTATTGAGAGACAGCTAGGGTTTTTTTTTTT